CTTGGAACTTTTCCAAGTAACTACTCCTCCGTTCAGGGTAAATACCCAGCCCGACTGAGAGCGGAAATTATCTCTATCGGTCTGAAAGCTGGCATCACTATACCCCGTCACTCTCAAGTCATCACTCCCGTCGAGGATAAGAACCCAGTCCTTAGTCCTTCGCAGGTACTTGAGAATATTATTTACTGCAGTCCAGTGAGCCTTACCAGGGTTTCCCTCATATCTGCTGACCATGCTCAAAGCAAAGGCCACATCAGGGCGAGTACAAGTCATTGCATACATGATCGAGCCAACAGTGGAAGCATATGGGAATCGACTCATCTTAGCTATCTCGGCCTCTGTACTCAGAATCTGAGTCTTACTCAGTTTGGCATTGCTCTAGATCGGTAATTCATCTTTCTTGGAATTCTGCATGTTGAACCTCTTCAACACCTTGTCCAAGTAGATTCTTTGACTAAGTCCAATTAGTCTCTTACTCATGTCTCTCAATATCCTTATCCCTAGGATATAGGCAGCCTCTCCAAGGTCCTTCATAGCGAAACACTTCCCAAGCTAGGATTTCACCTCCTGCAAGGTTGGGATGTCATTTCCTATGAGCAGTATGTCATCCACATACAGTACCAAAAAGCTAACTATACTCCCACTAGATCTGACATATACACAGGACCCATCATCGCTTCTCGAAAAGCCAAACTCTTTGACTTTCTCATCGAAACAAAGATTTCATCCACTAGATGCTTGTTTTAATCCATAAATGGATTTCTCAAGCTTACACACTCTATTAGGGTACTCTGCATTGACAAAACCCTCTGGCTGACTCATGTAAACATCCTCAGCCAACTTTCCATTAAGGAAAGCGGTTTGGACATCCATTTGCCATATTTCATAATCATGAAATTCAGCTATGGCTAGCATAACCCTAATAGACTTAATATGAGCTACTGGTGAGAAGGTCTCATCATAGTCAACTCCCGGAGTTTCAGTAAAGCCCTTCGCAACCAGTCGCGCTTTATAAGTGTGTACTTTCCCATCCATGTCGGTCTTCTTCTTGAAGATCCATTTGCACCCGACTATCTTACGACCCGGTACATTGTCAACCAAGTTCCAAACTTGATTGTCATACATGGACTGAATCTCGCTTTCCATAGCCTCTTTCCACTTTGCAGACTCAGGGCCTGCCATGGCTTCCTTATAGCTGTTACGTTCATCCAAATTTACCAGTGTGCTATCACTGATAAATGTATCACCTTCTGTAGTAATATGGAAACCATAAAACTCAGGTGTATTCCTAACTCTTGTGGAACGCCTCAGAGGTACAGATTCGTCAATCGGCTCAAAAGGAGTTTCTTCGGTAGGTTGTTCACTAGTGTTTGAGGTTCCTTCACCGCTTGACTCTTGAAGCTCTTCAAGGTCAATTTTCCTCCCACTGTTTCCTTGGCTTATGAATTCTCTCTCACGAAAGACTCATCTCCTCGCAATGAAGACAACATTGTCACTCGGTCTGTAGAAGAGATAACCAAAGGATTTCTATGGGTAGCTGATGAAAATACACCGCTCACTCCAAGGTTCGAGCTTGTCATGAGTCTCGCATCTCACAAAAGCCTCGCAACCCCAAACCTTGATGTGTGTCAACGAAGGAACCCTCATTGTCCACATCTCGTGAGGTGTATTGGCAACCTTCCTGGTAGGGACTAGATTAAGGATATGGGCGGCAGCCTCTAAGGCATACCCCCAAAATGATATAGGTAACGAAGCTCGACTCATCATGGAACAAACCATGTCCAACAAGGTTCGATTGCGCCTCTCAGCCACACCATTAAGCTGTGGTGTCCTAGGAGGTGTCAATTGTGAAACAATTCCACATTCCTTAAGATAGTCTAGGAACTCGATACTAAGATAGTCACCACCTCGATCGGATCAGAGCATCTTTATCTTCCTGCCCAGCTGATTCTCCACTTCTTGCTTAAACTCTTTGAATCTTTCAAAGGTTTCTGACTTATGCTTGATTAAGTAGACATAGCTATATCTACTATAATAATCAGTAAAAGTCACATAAAAGCGGTTAGCATCCCTTGTGGCGGTTATGAAGGGTCCACACACATCTGTGTGTATGAGGTCCAACAAACCTTCACCCCTCTCACAAGAACCAGTGAAGGGTGATTTAGTCATCTTTCCAAGCAAACAAGATTCGCAACTATCATCTCACTTTAAGTCAAATGATTCCAAGACTCTAGCCTTTTGGAGTTGGCCTATGCGCTTCTTGTTGACATGTCCATGACGACAATGCCATAAGGATGCTTTATCCAAACTAGTGGAAGAATCAATACGCAATACATTATTTCCTAAGTTATCTACAACCATCACAGTTTCATATACACCATTACAAGGTAATGCTTTAAAATAAAAAACACCATTATAATAAGCATTTATTGCACCAATTTCATTATCAAGTGAAAAAAGTGAAACCTTGTTTGTACAAACCATGAAAAGAAATAATATTTCTCGCCATTTCAGACGAGTAACATCAATTATTCAAATCTAATTTTAACCCACTACAAAACAATAAAGAATAAACTCCAATCTTGGTGAGAGGTGAAGCTTTCCTATTCCCCATGATTAAGTTTATCTTCCCGTGCTCCACATCCTCAATTTTTCTTAGTCCCTACAAATCAGAACAAATGTGAATACCACAACATGTATCAAGGACCCAAGAATTAGTATGCGGTGAGTTATTAGACAATATAGTGTAAATACCTGCATAGGTGGGTTTTACTTTCCCATCCTTAACATCCTGCAAGTACTTAGGGCAGCTTCGCTTCCAGTGCCCCTTATCATGACAATAGAAGCACTCTGCTTCTTTTAGGTTAGAGGAGGGAGTAGCAGGACCGAATTTAGTCATGCTTGAAGAGAACCCATCAAGGGGCGGCAACCCTTGGCGGGGTCTAAGGGGCAGAGCCCCTGGCTGGGATCGAGCTGCCAGGTCAGCGCAGAAATTTTTTATGTAGGTTATGTTACTATATAAAAAATGCATTAAAAATCCGAATTTTTAGAGAATTGACCCATTTTGACTTTTATTCAAAATACTCGTTTTTATGACCGTTTTGGTGGTTTTGTGATAGTTTTAAACTGTCATATGACATTTTTTAGACAATGATCTAAAAGTTAGTTTTAGTCTCTTTTTCTGGTACTCACGAAATTATACACCCTCATTCTCTTTCTTCTCTTAATTTTTCTGAGTCTGATCCAATTGGGGATTTGGGAGTACCACCCAAATACTTCGATTTGATAGTGATAATCACGATTCTCAGATTTCCAAGTGCCATTAAATCCATATTTCTGACACATTATACACAAAATCACAAACACATTAGAGAATAACTCCAAATCAGCTATAACATCACAAAATTCGGGATCACAGTGAAGAAAAATTAACTCAAACTCCATGAAGAAATGTCTCTAAATCAGTGAGTTTACCTGATGTAGTAGAGAAAGATGGCGGCACTGGATGGTATTTTCCACTAGAATCGTTATCGGGGGTGGGCTTCTTATCTAGAAGAAGTAGCGGACCGGAGGGAGGAAGGATATAAGAGGTGGTGGTTTCTGGTGGATGCAAGCTCTTTGCCACAAAAAGAAAATGGTTGGTGGTGTCGGTTCGTCGTTGTTGGCAAGAGAGTTTTGGCTTCGTGTAAACCAGAAAAGTTAGACGGAGAAGGGATGTACCTTCTGGAGCATTAGCAGTGACGATATTATACCTTTAGTGGTGACACATTAAACGTATTAGCGGCGATACCGAATAATACAAGGGAACATTGAAGCCTACCCATTGGATTTACGCATAGATTGAACGACTATAGTTGAGTATTGGCTAAACGGAACATGGATTGCAAGCTAGTGCATTGGCAGCATCACCTTTAGCGGCGATGCACACTTTAGCGACAACGTAAAGGACAAGGCGTGTCTGACTTTATGTCGTCACTAAAGCTTGTGATGCTTAAATTTCTTGTTGTGTTTCTAGTAGATATCATAAAAAGAAATTTAATTGGATTGATTGAATCAGGGATCTGACATTTGATACCTTGATAGTTCTTTTAGGATAAATTCTACAAAGGTCATTAAGTTTAGAAGGCTTAGTGGGTATTTCCAAAATTCTCCATAATCGATCGCTCCAGAAGGGTCAAAATCAAACCCAACGACTTGTCATAATACACTATGTGGCCTACCATTACGTGGTGGATTATGAGCCATTTAAGATTCAATAATGTTGCATAGCAGCCCCAAGTAATCAAAATATAAGCCAACAACCTAGATCAATAGCAATATACCCTAATTAATGATTCCGGTCATCGATTGTGATCACTATTTCATTTGAGGAATCATTAGGACTAACAAAGGAACATATACTCTCTTTTCTCTCTTCACTTTCTCTCTCGATGATCTCTACACTTTTCTCTCTTTTTAAATAATTAAAATCCTAATAATCATCTTTCTTTATACTTAATTTAGATATTAATATCAAATTCAACAAAAGTCACTAGATTTGGAAAATTATCACAAAACATACTATATTTTAGGTTTTTTTATATATATTTTTATTTTGACATCCAGAATGTGATGTTACCAAAAGTATCACGTTATTAAAACCGACACGTCATCAAAACTCCAGACAATCGGGTTAACTAGTCAAAATTTTACTGAGTGTCCAATTTGAGACAAAAATAACATAGTATCAAAATCGAATTTTTGTAAAACTGAATGAATTTTGTGGAATTTACCTTTTTTATTAAATAAATTTGCCATTAGAAAAAAGAAAAAGACAAAATCCATCCAAATACCTTTGACAAGTTTTGGAGACATAAAACATGGGAATTTTTTTAAGTTATCCATCACTCACATTTAACTGCAATGGTAACAAACTAATAATGAACATCGAATGCAGAAAAAGATAAATATTGATCGAATTCAAGGACCTTTATTCTTTATTAATTTTAACGAATTAGTAATCAAAACGGAATAAAAACAGTTGGGATAACCTCCAATGAATCTTTCTTAATTGCGGTGACTCCATGACTCTCAGTCATGTCAATATCTTTAGGACTTAATCCATTAGGAAGTTGCCAATTGAAGTGGTATAGCAATCTAGCAAGAGTGAGCTCAATAGATACCAAACCAAAAGCAATCCCAAGACAAATTCTCCTCCCTGATCCAAAAGGGATATACTCGAAGCTTGTACCAAAGAAATCGTATGAAGTGTTCTCAAATCTCTCTGGTTTGAAGGTTTGTGCATCATCCCAATATTCAGGATCAGTTCCGCATGCAAGGCCATTAACAACGACTTTCATTTTTTCGGGTATATCATAACCACCAATTTTAACCTGCTCTCTACATTCCCTTGGTAGTAATAGTGGAATAGTAATGTGAAGTCTTAAAGTTTCTTTGATTATGTGTTTAAGGTAAACCAACTTATGTAGTTCAGTCTCGGCGATTGTTTTCTCTCCCTTAAATGCTTCTCTCACTTCTGCTTGGGCCTTCATCATCACATCAGGGTTTCTCATCAACTCTGTCATTGCCCATTCAATGGTCACAACACTTGTATCCGTTCCTCATATAAGCATATTCTGTGATATATCATTCGAATTAGAAGTTATTTAAACACGTTTAAAAAAATCATCAACTTATGTCACATACAATAAACTTAATAAGTATATAATAGAGAAGAAACAAGATATGTAGTTGAATATTATTACTTTAAGTTACCTTTATAATATGTAAAGAATGAAAAAAACCAAGTAGTAGCTGTCAACATAATGAATATGATATAAGTGAACTATAGTATAAATTAAATGAGCATATACCAGAAAGATCGCCTTGATATTGTTGTCTGTGACTGGGAACCGAAGACCACCACGCTCTTTGATGTTGAAAAGAACATCAATCAGATCGTCTTCTGTTGGACCAACTGTTTGTCTTCTGATTCGACGTTCCTCAAAGATTTCATCAAAAATGTTATCAAGAGACTTGTGAATCTTCGTCAACCTAGATTTCATCCCAGAAATGGTAGAAAGGAAAGTTAACGTAGGAAACAGGTCTGCAACATAATACCCACTGGATAACGCCACCACTTGTTCCGCCAATTCGATCAACACATCCTGTTGTCTGCAATCATTTCCAAACAAACACTTGCACACGACAGTATTATTCATTTTCATAACCCTTTTACGTATGTGTACAGGCTTTCCAACGCAGGATTGAACCACCTCCGTGAAACGATCGATCTCTATCGCCCTAAAGCCCATGAAGGATTGAACTTTTTTGACACTTAAGAGTTCCATGGTGACGATCTTCTTCATTTGTCGCCAGTAATCACTGTAACGACCAAAAGCAATGTCAATGCCTCCGTACAACAGAATATCAGCAAGAAGTGCATATGGGCGGCTTGCAAGGGCTAGGTCGTGAGTTTTTAGTACTTCTTCAGCTAACCGAGGTGACGAGACGACGACCATGGAGATCTGTCCGAGTTGCAGGCTCATTATGGGGCCGTATTTCTTGGACAAGTCAAGGAAAGCACGATGCGGCAGTGCTAGGCCAATCTGATAGAGGTTTCCAATGATGGGTAGCTTTGGTGGGCCTGGTGGTAGGTTGAGAGGCTTGGAACTCTTGGGTTTTCTGTTGCAGATGTAGTAGATGGAGAGAATGAAAGAGGAGACCATGAAGATGATGGTCATATCGATGGCCATTGTTACTCAACGGGATGAGTTGTTTTGGAGAAGATGTGTAAGCTCCATATATATAGCATGCATGGAGAAGCGCTACTTTTACTTTTCAGCTTAATACTTCAATCAAATCTTACAAGCCTAGTGGAGGAGGCTTTACTTATTCCCACGTTTATTACTACTGCAACACCTCAATATTATAATCTTATAAAGATACTATAGGACAAATTAAAGGATGCATGAACCTCAGGTGTTTCCTCCTCCTATTTTAACATTACTAGAAAATCACAATCCGTAGTTACAGGGAGATACCTATGGAAATGTGACCGAAAAAAAGGCTGTAAAATAGCTCGTGGGTAAATAGTATCTATAGATTTGCGATGGATTAGCTACGGAATACTGATGACTTTTTCCGTAGGTATAATACCAACAGAATACCGACGAATTTCCTACGAAATAACGACGGGAGTCAAGTTTGACTAAAATTGACTTTTTAACTACGGAATGCCGATGAACCTATTTAGCGACGAATTTCCTACGAATTAGTGATCGGAGTGAAGTTTGACTAAAACTGAATTTTTACCTACGAAATACTGACAGACCTACTTAGCAATGGATTTCCTACGAATCAGCGACGGAAAATTGATGAACTTAAAATATATATATATATATATATATATATATATATATATATATATATATATATATATATATATATATATATATCCATGTTTTTCTGCTTAAAATGCAGAAAAAACATTACATTCAAATACAAAAAACATCAAATAATTACTTAATCCAAAACAAAATATTAGTACTTAAATACCAAAATAACATAATCCAAAGCCAAACATTTTAAAATCGAAGATTTATATACATATTTGATTTCAAAGTTAGTACAATTCTTGATTTTCTCTTATATTATGCTTTGCAACATAAATCACTTTCTGAATCTCTTCTTGAACACTCATATTCAAACTATAGTTAAAGCACAACACAAATATAAAAAGTAAATTTTGTAAGTACAATGAGAGTTTTAAGCTGGTTTTAGCAATATACTTAAATTAAAAAAACTGATACACAGGCGTTCATAATTTAAAATTGTAATTTACCTGAGTGCACTTTTAGCAATGTACATACAAAGTACAATACTTTAATTAGAAACATAAAAGCACACCAACACTATGTGTTTACAACGAAAACGAACAACCAAAGCAAATGGCCATAATGCATATATAAATAAGAAAAAAAATGGAAATAAGATAAAGAGTTGAAAATTACATTTCAAGGCATAAATTTAGTTATAGCCTTGCATTATTCATGCATATCATGTAGTTTTTGAGTAGTTTATTGAGTTTGTTGTACTTGTTTCCCTATGCCTTGAACTTAGCAAAGAGAAATATCCAATAAGATATATGTTTTGATGTATTTATAAATGGTCACTTTCTAAACCCAAATCCAAACAGTCCTTAATTCAAACGATAGTAAAAAAAATGTGGGATTTCAACTCAAAAGCCTTAGATTGCAAGTCAACAACAGATAAAATATAAAAATACATTCATAACTTTTCAATGTCCTCCACCATCCCAATAGCTGCAAGTGATTTCCCGAACCACATCCGAACATCCCCTTATTTTGTAAAACTCCCATGTTTAACCAAACCACCATCATCAAACACCCATGCAATCCCGTGAGGCAACCTTATACCGCTACTATCATCCTAATACTCATCACCATCTTCGCGACCATACACCTCCCAAAGCTACCATCCTTCTCCCTTGTACTTGCCATCGATGTACCACTATATCCACCATGATCAACCACCAAACCAATCGATCACCTGCTTCCATGCACCGACAGAACCGGTTCATCATAAGCCACCACGACACCCTGATGGGTTTTACATGCAATAACACAGATAAATCCTTAGCACTTAAGGGTACAAGCAACCTATTAGATCTATGTCATAACACTATTAAAGTAACATTTTATTAAACAACAAGAACCGTATGAACCCTAGGTATTTTCAAAATTTACAAAAAAATAGGAATTACATACCTTTTTTATTGTTGTAGTAAACAATCAAAAATCCTTTCTTCTTTGATTCGGAAGCTAGCACTACAACTGTCGTGCCTCTAATGGTTCACACCAAACCCTAGCAACCAAGGAAACTTGAAGAGAGAGGATATAATAGATAAAATTTGGGGTATACTCTTAAGGAGTCAAGTGGCTGAAATTTAGAGGCTATGAGACCCTATTTATAGCTGACCAAGAAACCCTAGATAACTCTTACTTGATTAAAATAATAATTTCTTATATCAGGTAATTATCTGGTTTCCTAACAATCTCCAAGGGATATTCTAGAAACCCTAGAATCATTCCAAAAACCGTCCACCTCACATGGAGAAGGTTCTGGAACCCTTTTGTTGAACTATTGAACATTTACAGCTTAGGTCCATGTACATTTAGTTAATCCAATTAATCACAAAATTACTTCCAGTTAATATCTGATTAATTGTTAATTAAATAACAATATTTCTAATTAATATAGTATTCTCATAATATACTAAAAATCATTTATATATATAGGGAGAGGTTATATTGAGAACGTAAAAAGATTGACATAAATGGTCTTTTTTATATCAACCATCAATCTAAATATTTAAAGGGTAGTGATCTGTTCTCGCTAGGGGTGTGCGCGGTGCGGTTTGGTGCGGTTTAGAGTCAAAACCGCAAACCGCACCGCATATGCGGTTTGAATATTTTAGAAACCGCAAACCGCACCATAGATGTTCAAAACCGCGTTATGCGGTGCGGTTTGATGCAGGCGGTTTGGTTGCGGTTTGTGCGGTTTGATGAGTTGTTCAACATTAAATCTATCAAAAAACCAAAAAACTGACCCGGTTAAAAAAATTGATTGCTTTTATTTTATAAAAACAAATACAATTTTCAAGTTAAATCGTTTTTAATAAATTGTTATTTATGCTACTATAGTTTTGTAGTGTCACTGTTATTGCTTTATATTGCCGTTATAGTTGCTATATTCTTGTAAACCGTGAGATCTTGATCTAATAGTGATTTAATGTTACGTTATAGATATTTGATTATTGTAAGAAATATTTTTAAATACATTGTTTCTAAATCGTGATTTAAAGTTATAACAAAGTAAAGAAAAAAAAATATATATATAACATGCGGTGCGGTGCGGTTTGAACCGCGGTTTTATAAATACAAACCGCAAACCACACTGCACAGTGCGGTTTGATAAAATGACGAACCGCAAACTGCACCACGAAATTCTAAACCGTATTATGCGGTGCGGTTTGGTGCGGTGCGGGCGGTTTGTGCGGTTTTTTGCACACCCCTAGTTCTCGCGTTCTCAACCTTTTTAGTGTTCTCGATTTAACTTACCTCTCTCTCTCTCTCTATATATATATATATATATATATATATATATATAATGTGTGTGTGTGTGTGGTGTGTGTGTAATATATATATATATATATTATATATAATATATAATATATATATCTAAAAGGTAGCTTATTTAATTACCAAGTTTGAGGGCAACCCAAAAGGACTGTGGTACCATCAATTCAAGTATATGCCAATTATAGTAATGGGCTTAGATACCTAATCCAACAATCTCCCACTGAGATAATTCTATAATTATAATTGCTAGTAAACTTTTGAACCGATCAGGAAGTTATAGCTTTCAAAAGCCATTGTGGAACTCTGACACAGTCAGTTACGTGTCCTAAGATAAATGATCAAATATTCCTTGTTCTACAAGATATCGACGAGACATGGATTGAAATCAATCTCATTGTCTAAAATTCTATTTCTCGATTTCCTGATTTTTGACGACTGAGTTCAGACTACTAATTGAACATATCAATTCAGTCCAGGCTTGGCCAAGTACTTCAGATGTCGACATCAAATCATCGAGGGGCCCAAATATGTTGCTTTTCCCGTTAGGGAAAAAGGAACGAATAAACTTTGACTCATATGCCTGTATCTTTTACTCACCAAATCGCACATGACACTACGTTTTATAACATCAAGTTACTGATGTGTTTTCGCAAAACCAATGTGTAACCGACTTGTAAATTACAACTCATATATCTCAGTTTTAGGAATATAAGATATTATCGTCTCTGAATTACTTGTGATAAAATCCGTGAACTAATTCTCTGAGTGTGGGTTTATCCAATACTCACAATCCATATTTTCTAAGTACTCATGAACATTGTAGCAATTTTATTTCAACGTCTAATCACCATAGACAATATACAATTCAATTCATGACAACCTTAATTCACTACTTACTTCCAAAAGTATGAGCGACTGTGGAGTTTCAAATAATCAAATTATTCAAGAAGTAAAACATGTGAAGTAAAACACAATAATAAACTAATTAACTATGGTCTCAAAACTATTGATTATAAATAAAACTCTTATTATTTAATCACCATAATAATTAACACATTATTCGTTATATAATGTTTCGAGTAATCAACTATCCACTTGAATTAAGCATCAGTCATACCATGTTATGAACATGCATACTATTCTTCTATATGGTCCTTCATTAGTGAACAGATCGACCAGACACTATTCCAATGATGTTCATTTCATAATTTCAAATTCTTGTCAGTGTATAAAATGAATTGGAATTCTAACCTCATATCCATTGACCTTCTGTGATGTTGAGGCTTCAAAGTCATAGAGACCGAGCCAACAATACTACAAAATATTCCATTGGAACTTTGTTACTAAAAACAATTCCAAGGTAATGGAGGTTCTAATTCAAGGTACGCTCCTTGAACACAATTCTGCATAAAAGTTTCCAATTCACATGCAGACTCAATAATCAACTCCCTTTATGGAAACTTTTCCATATTCCCATATAACCATCAATTTTGACAAAGAATCATCTCAATCTAAAACATGACACTATGGTCTTTCCAAACAATACCATACTTCCAACTGTCCATAAGCAAGCAATCTTCAGTAAACCTATGAATGTTCTTGACAGTTATTTAACAACTTTAGTCATACAAAATT